TAGCAATATTGATATATAGCATAAGTTGAATTTTAATAAACTTTTATCATAGATTAAATTATGAAATATTTGATTCTTATCAATTGAATAAAAAATCAGAACTCCATAACAGAATCAACCTAGTAAGAGATTTAGTTACTTAATATAATCTAGAAAAAATTAAATTAAGTGATATGGAAAATAGAAGTATGGAATAAATTTGATCAACTCTTATATGCAAAGATTTAAGAAATAAATTAACTATGGCTCGAGTTTTAATAGATAGAAGGGATGAATAGAAATAATGGAGAGAAAAAAAAACATTGAGTTAATTTAATATATTTTATATTCTGAGATTCCTTAAATGGATTAAATAATAATAATTCAGATTATAAATTTCCTAAAAAATTTTAATCAATTGAAGGTCTTTCAGTACTTAATGGGCTTTTTTAGATGTTGAAATTGATATATGAATTTTTTTCTAATTTTATGATACTGAATTAAAATTAAAAGGAAATCTTTATGAATAAAAATATAATCCACCGATTCATCTTTAAATCAATAACTAAAAACTTAGTTTATATTGTTTGTTCTACCTTCTTATTATTTGATTTTCCGCAATTTTTAAGTTGTAAGTAAAGTTTTACTTAAGTTTTTTAAAAAACTCATCGTAATAATAGGCTACAAATTGCATTCTTCTTGATAAACATCAACCTCTTGACTTTACTTCAATTGGATATATATAAATATTTTTTAAGCCTAATCTTAATTGATTGTGAGATTAACTCTTGAACTAATTTACTTCTATACGCTGGAATCTCCTTTTGTCCTTTCTTGTTTGACTGGATAATATACTTACAATCGGAAATTATACGAGTATTACTTTAACAACTAAACCGTTGTAGTAATAATGAATTTTAATCGCCAAAAAGTATTTATTTCCTTTTAACTTGGTATTTCTCTTGATCATCAGAATAATTCTTCATATACTCAAGAAAGACTTATCTTCTTATTTTTAAAACTCTTGAAAAACCACTTAAATTGCAGTAGTTATTAATGTTTCTAAAAAGAAAGGCAATTCTCTAAAACTACTTATCTAAATTTTAAAAATCATATTACGGGTTTTTTTCTGTAAATTTTCATTTTGATATATTTTTATGCTTCTTTTAGTAATTATCAAACTAATCATTTGAATAAGAATTTGAAACAAAATTAGCTTATTTTAAATTAAATATATAAAAACTTTCAACTAAAAAATTATTGTAAAACAGCTTATTCTTCCATATATTAAAATAAATCTTTTGTTAAAGAATTAAAAAAGATATTAATCATAAATTTTACATCGAAATCTTAATTCTTCTTACAATTATTAATTTAATTGATGAAAAAAGTCTCCTACTTGATCATCATTTTATTCTGACTTTCTTTACAAATATACTCTGAATAAGTTCTTATTTTGATTTATAAATCAAATTCTATCTTTTTCTTTACCATAAATCTTATTTATTAGACTAATAGTTTATTAACTTTTTAAAATGTTAGTTACTAAAATCCTAATAATATTTGCTGAATAAGCAAATACAATCGACCCAATAGACATTATAAGATTATTGATCAAAAGTTCTTCATCATTTTTAGTTGTAATATCTCCATAACCTACTTTTGTCATAGTCAGTCCTATAGATTGCAACATTATATTAGATATATTTTATTTATCTCTTAAATTATAAACATCTAGCCAAGTGAAGGATGAATGAAAATAAGCTATATTATGCCAAAGTCAACCAAAATTATGTATTACATTATCAATAACTAACAAAACTTTCAATAAATTTTTTAATATCAATAAGTATTTAGCTTAAATTGAATATTCTTAATTTTAATTATAATTATTTTACACTTATAATTTAAAGGATATTTTTTTGTTTCAATCTATAGAATATCACTCATAGTTCTACGTAAATCATAATTACTTCAAGATCTTTGGAACTCAATTTAGGAACAAAAAAA